ACGACAGAGGATGAGATGGTTGGATGGCATCACCGACTCAATGGCCATGTGTTTGACTAAACTCCGGGAGTTTGTGATGGACAGGGAGGCCTGGTGTGCTGCGATTCATGGGGTCGCAAAGAGTCAGACACGACTGAGAGACTGAACTGAACTGAACTGAAGAAAAACAATGAGACTAGTAGTACAGTTAGGAAAAAGCACAAACTAAGACATTAATGGGATCCATTTAAAATTGCAATTAGATTGGGAGGATTGTTTTCACAGTGATGCAGGCTTTTCTGGTAGGGAGTTACTATATATATGAATTCCTGTCAAATATACTATAGATGAAGTTTGGCCTTTTGTGGAATATTGACATATAAGACCTCAGGGGTCTTTTCTGCCTGTACAAATTAGAAATCAATGGCAGAGAACAGGGAGTTTCTGTGTGAGATGTGCAAGACTGGTTCCTCCAGGAAGAATCCATCAGAAACATTTCATGTGTTATAGTTCTCAAACTTATGAACTCCCAGCGAACTTTAGCAGGTGAAGAGGTTATTGTTTGTTGGTTGGTTTGATTTTGTGTTTTAATAAAAGCTAGCTAAGACCTGAAAACTGAACCAAAATACATTTTATTATAACTACCTAGTCTCTGTCTCGGAGAAGGCAATGGCACCCCACTCCAGTACTCTTGCCTGGAAAATCCCATGGATGGAGGAGCCTGGTAGGCTGAAGTCCATGGGGTCACAAAGAGTCAGACACAACTGAGCGACTTCATTTTCACTTTTCACTTTTATGCATTGGAGAAGGAAATGGCAACCCACTCCAGTGTTTTTGCCTGGAGATTCCCAGGGATGCGGTCACACAGAGTCGGACACGGCTGAAGTGACTTAGCAGTAGCAGTCTCTGTCTAATCAGTTTTCAGCTGTATCTGATACTGGTTGAAAGAAATGTAGACAATAAGCAAATTTCACTTTGATATTTCCCACTATAAATTAATAAGAACATTCTTCACTACTCCTCTACTATATCAGAAAACTGAATATATGGGGTGTAATAAATACTTGGGGACTTGATTGGCATATTTAAACTTGTAAGCAGTCTTTATCAGCAGACTATCAGAGAATAGAAACAAAAATTGTTCTCTATCTCTTTTATGGCATTTTTTCTATTAAGTAATAATTTTAGGTTAACCTTAGGAAATACCAAATCATAGTTCTTTGTAATAAGAAATCACTCACATATACATTCTTTCATGTAAACTTTAGAATCATCTTAAGAGTTTATTATTCTAATCATATTATTTACTGATGCTTCTACATATATATGTGTGTGTGTGTGTGTGTGTGTATTTAATAATGATCAAAACCATAAGAGGCAGAAATTCTTAATATCATGATAACAATTCTGAGTCCCAGAAATGTTAAGTAACTAGTCACATTTACACATTTTACTTAAAAAATGAACTGGATTCAAACCTATTTGTATGCCTGCAAAGTCCAGGCTTTTAATTTTCACACTGTGATAATTTTACAGATGAGAAGAGTAAATCTTAGAGAAACCAAGTAATTTGTCCAAAGTATAGAACTGAGAACTGGAAGAAACAAGAATAAAACCCGAGAGTTTTTTTTCTAAGATCAGAGTTCTTTCCACTCTTCATAACAGATTAAAAAAAAAAAGTATGACATTTAACAACAGTATAAAAAACACAAGCCCAAGTTGAAAAGCAATGGAATGGTTATGTATTAAAAGAAAAAGAAATATGAAAGCCTAAAAATAATTAACTAAATTTCATAGCACATGCTACAAAACTGTCAATAGCTGAGTCTAAAACACTTCTATTTCATAGAATCTTGGATAGGAATTTTTTTAGTGTAAATATTTACAGTTTAGTTTTACATATACCCATAGTTAAACAGCATAAATTTTTTTAAAAACCCAGAAAATGTAGGAAATTATATGTACATACTTTAAAATAAAGAGGTTTTCTTAAAGAACACTGAAGACCTTAAATGATATATAAATATATCTTAAAGCTCAGACAATAAAGAATCTGCCTGCAATGCAGGAGACACAGGTTCAATCTCTGGGTTGGGAAGTTCCCTTGGAGAAGGGAAGGGCAACCCACTCCAGTATTCTTGCCTGGAAAATTCCATGGACAGTGGAGCCTGGCAGGCTACAGCCCATGGGGTTGCAAAGAGTCAGACATGACTGAGTGACTAACCCAAAGCATCTATGTAGCAACTGATGTTATCTCTAGATTTATATATTATTTTGGAAATACTGGGATGTCAGAAGTGTAACTAGTTTATAATAATACAAAGAATGATAGGTAATAGTGTGTGTGTATGTGTGTATGTGTGTGTGTATGTGTGTGTGTGTGTGTGTATAAGAACATAGGAATGAAACAAGGTGTTAATTTAGCTGGCTACCTTAGATAATTACAAGTTTCTTATGGTCTCACTATTTTCATTCTTACTCGTTTCCCACATGTAAGTTATAATGATCTTCTTGATAAATAAAAAGGAACCATTACATTCTGTTATTTCAGTTACATCTTTTTTTAAAAATTCAAATAAAATCCAAGTTCTTAACCACAGGCAAGGTCCTGTATGATCTATCCCCTGCCTACTAACCTCATTCTCCACTTTTTCTCATTCAACAGTGTCCACTTCATGTAGATTTTTAAATCGGTTTCTGAATGGATCTTTGGACCTTAGCCTATGCTAAGCATTGCCTGAATGCTTTGTCATCCTGTCTTCCACAGGACCATCTCCTGATCAGAGAGATTGTAGTTAATATCTTACAGCCTTAGGAAATTTACTGATTACTGCTTCTCAAGCAAATTTCTACAATAGCATCCTATTTGTCTTTCTGATAGCATTTATCATAATTTAAATCATTTTGTTTGATCATGTATTTTAGTTTCCTTCTCAATCTGTCTCATCAGACTCTATATTTCATGAATCCAGGCATTCCCCTGCGGTCGAGTTTACCTCCAGTTCTTACCTCAGTGTCTGATTCATAATTGTTAACTAGCAAGTACTGGATGATTGAATGAATGGAGTGAATACGTATGTTTGAAAAATATTTTTATTGGGAATTTGTATCTGTGGAGATCAGAAATTGAATTTTCTCTGGAGAAGGTTATGGTATAGAAACAGTTTGGAAAGTATGAGGAGTTTTAGATCTAAAATTGATAAAGATACAAATTTTGAACTTCAATTTATACTCAAGAAAGCAAAATTCTTTCTTAACAATAGACAATATGAAGGAAAAGAACTCTTTCAAAAACTATTCTGAGGCTTAAATTCATCCACATCCAGTGAGTACCTAGTAAATCCTAAAATCTCTCCTCCTTTCTTCCCAGTACAACGTCTAAGTTCATTCACCCACCAAATCTCACCTGCCTCCCCCATGTCCCCAGTAAGTGGAGGGTGCTGTGTTGAAATTTTAAGAACCAACAGGCCTCTGGACAAAAAGAAGAAATATATATTTCAGGATTGGTACCTGGGCCATGGGAAACTGGGATTCAAATAATGAGGGTAAAGGAGTTAGAAGCCGTTGCTAACATTTCAAGGACAGTCACTTACTTCAAGGCATCATTTATACTCAGAAAGACCTTTATGTCAGCATTAGTAGTTTTTAAACAATAGTATCAGTGCAGTGACTGAAAAAATTACGAGGGTTACACTAGGAAACCATAGCAAGAGCAATAGTAAAGGACAACATAGGAAAAGGTATAGAATAATCCTAGAACCTGTGACAGAATGTGGGCTTCCCAGGTGGTACTAGTGGAAAAGGATCTGCCTGCCAATGTAGGAGACATAAGAGACGCAGATTTGATCCCTGGGTTGGGAAGATCCCCTGGAAGAGGGCATAGCAACCCACTCCAGTATTCTTGTCGGGAGAATCCCATGGACAGAGAAGCCTGGCAGGCTACAGTCCATAGGGTCACAAAGAGTTGGACGTGACTGATACACCCACATGGCAGAATAATGTTTACAGTCAACAAAACATTTTCCAACAAGGTAGTTTTGAGTTTGCCTTCTAAACAAGGAACTCAGACTTGGAGTTCAAATTATTATGCTGTGAAAGGTGACAGAAAAAAGTATATACCACCATTGATGCTGTTATTGGACATTTATTCATTCATTCATCCCATAATTACTTATTGAAAGTCAGCCCTTGTGATTTTCACTGTGAAAGCCACTGGGATAATTTTAAGCAAAAATCATTCAGTTCTCTCATGGAGGTTGATGGGGCCTGAGGAAGAAAGAATTACTCCCATGTACATGTTAATAAGCCACAGCCCAGAATAAAATTTAACTTCATGCTTTTTATACAAAGGATGGCTCTCTGTGTTTTTTTAAACAACTTCTAAATGATGGTTTTATAAAAATAAGCTATTAATAAAGATTTTCATTTGTGGAAATAGAAACACATTCATTGAAACCGTATTTGTGGACAAGATTAACTTTAATCACAGAGAACTTCACATAATCATAAGATAAAGTTTTCATCTAAAAACAAATGTAGTGTAGAAAACAACCAGAGTTGTTTGAAAAACTTGGATAACCTGGATGATATTTGGAATGGAATTTGTAAAAGCCTTTTCCAGTCTTCATGTGTATAATCCCTCACCTTGATCTGAACAAAACATCAGCTCATGTTTTCTAGTTTTGAAATTCTGTTGTAAAAGATCCTTAGCCATGCCACAGAAATCTGTGAATTCCCTCTACAGGTGTAGTGAGTCACCTCAAAATCTTCATAAACCAATAAAAGGCATAATTCAACTGAAAACTCCTGCATTTTCTCCTCCAGGGGATCTTTCCGACCCAGGGATCAAACCCACATCTCCTGGCTGGTGGCCTCTTTACCACTTTAAGCCACCTGGGAAGCCGTAACTGAAAACTCTATGTCAAAGTTAAAACGACAAAAAGGAAGTATCAACCTCAGTTTAGCAATTCCAATATTAGGGACAGAATGGTAGACTACGAATGCAGAACTATGGCCAGTACCTTTTGAATGCCTGCTTGGGACTCCAGGACGTTATTCTCCGATCCGTTGCTCCGGTTGATCATCCGCCACATTTGGGAATACATGCTGTCCCTCTCAAAAGGATTCATTCCTTTCATGCGAACATGCTCATAAACTGCAGAGTCCAGAACCGTGCCGTAAGGAATATCTGTTTGCTTGGAAAGGTCCTGGAGAGACCTTGATTATTGGGAGAGCAGAGAGACACAAGACAGAATACTGAATACTTTCAAGTGGAAATAAAGGAAGCAAAAAGTAATGTACATAAATACAAATGTCAAATTGTTTTTTCCCTTGTTGTTTTTTAACATTAAGATATAATATAGAAAGAGAATTGCTGTAAGGGTATATAGAACCTACATGGATCACAAGAAGAGAAAAATCATTCTAAAGGAAAGGCGGAAATTTCGAGTGATAGAGCAAGGCTATTTTTCTCCCCCTGCTGTGAGGGAAAAAAAAATCAAGCAATCGCTATCAAAGCAAAGAAACATGAAATTATATTGCTATATAATCATATAGTTTTTTAAAATTTCAGAATGTTGCAAGCTTTAAGCTTATGTTCTTTTAGGTGACGAGGCTTCAACATTTTTATAAAATAATTACATTTTGTATAAACAACATGTTTGGGTAGGTGTATACTTAAAAACTAGTATTTGTAATAGTCATTACTTATTGAGTGACTACTCCATATATGCTATGCAGTTGGCATACATTATCCTTACAGCAATGCTGCATGTTCAGAACTATTTCACCTATTTTATAGACAAGAAAACTTAGGTACAGGGAATAGAGGATTAGCTAAGTGTGGCACGGCCATTGAAGGATAAAGACAGAATTCAAATGTAGATCTGACCAACTCCGAAAACCATATTTCTACTGCAAGGTGCTGACTTGTATCTCTATATTTATTTATTTATTTTTGCTAGATTTGCTTTAAGTGTGTGTGTGTGTATGTGAGAGAGAGAGATTTCTATTTGTATTAAAATAGAGTAAATTTCATGCTTCTGCAAAGCTGAATATGTTTTTAGCTTTCTCTTTTACAGAATAATGTTCCAGGATTTTCAAATCAATCTGTAAGTTACAGATGGTATCTACTTGTCCCAGGTTATTCGTCTCTAAATTGATGGTCAATTTCCTTATGTTTGAGTTTCTAATAAGACACTCATACTTTCTAACTTGGAGAACCAATTACCACTTCACTGGAACTCACTGAATTTGTGTAGGCACCCCACTTTAATGACTGACATTTAAGAACAAATATGTGTCTTCGGCATACTGTTTAAACTTAGATGCTGGCATGCTTCAAATTCACTAACCTCTAAGAATGGGAGCAGATGCTTTGAAGCACTATACCATATTTTGAACAAGAACAAATACCCACAGCCCTATAAAACCACGGGCCATGAATGTCATATTATGTATACCTCTGACCTTTTGGTCTGCTTTTAGATGGAGTTTGCTAATGATTTCCTGGGGGTCTTTGCAAGCAACACTAGCATTGGGTAAGGGTTTGGGAATACCCTTGCAGGTCACAAATTTCCATCATGTGCAAAATTGTGTTGCAAACAATACATTATGGGCCATGTTTGTTAAAGGAATATTTGTGCCGGTTTTTAATGGTAACTTTCAGCAAAATTTAGCCTGCATTTTATTGAGTTTTATGTTGTTGACGTGTATCATCTACTCTATGGAAATGAGTATACCATGGTAATTCCTTTTTGCTCTACACTTCTGCCTCATAAAATGATGAATTTAAATATTACTATTTTTTTTCTTTTTGCAAGCAAAGCTTTATTGGGGACCCTGCTGCAGCAAGGGGAAGTAAGAACAGATTCCTTTGCTTGCTCATTCCTTGAAGGAGGTAAAATAAAGAAAGTAAAACTGACTATTTGAAGGGGAGAATTTTCTGGAATATCCTACAATTATTGAGATAATTCTGCATTTGTAAAAGAAAATGTGACAATATAGACAAATAATTGAGGGCAGAAGCAAGAATAAAAGTGAGTTGCCCACAGTTAAGAGTGTAGCTTAGTACCAGAGTGACAGGGCCTCTGCTGCTGGAATGTACCATAAATTACCTTGGTACTAGTATAGCAATAAGAATTTTGTTTCAAAAGAATAGTTTATTTCTTATTTATTACTGTTTCTAGTAGTAGAAGTAAAACTATATTCAAAACTAACATTCTAACATATTTCCCAATGTATAGTGATGTGCTTTAAACTGGTTACACAGGGGGAAGAAATGAAACTTGTCAATAAAGATTATGATAGCAGATTTCATTCATTCAATATCTACAAAATGGAAGAGCAAGGTTAGGTAGTTATACCCAGCCTGAGATTTCTAGAACCTGAAGGTAATGTTAGGACTGGAGAAAGCCATGTTAGGATTCACTAGAACCCCCCCCCCCGGATATGCTTGGCCACTTTCTGCCCCATAGTTTCTGGCAATCAATCTCGATCATAACTTTCCAAAGGTTTCCACTTGGCAAGATCATAGCGTATTGGTGAAAAAAATGTTTACGCCTATATCTAAATATGTAACTGGTTTGCTCAAATAGTCATACTAGTAAAATACTGCTAAATAAATTAATGCTCCTTCTTAGCTTCCCATGAAAAGAAAATTGAAATCAACTGCTTGGATCTTTAATAGAAGCAAATTTTTGTGCCATGGTATCACTTTGAATATTAGCTTTAAATGTGAATATAGAATTATAATATAGGTTCTTAGCTGGCAAACTATTTTATACACTCAGAAATTTTAAAGCAACATCTTGATAGGTTTCCTATGTGACGTTCTTGATGTCAGAAAGAGGCAGTTTATTTTCAACATATTTCAAATTCAGAAGAGCAGAACATTTTGTAACTTAGAACAAAGGCATGTTCCCTCTAGCTTCATTTCTAATATCAAGTTCAGCTTATAAATGTGACATGAGATATGCCTGCAATAAAAATTACAGCTTGTCTGATTCAGTGTCGTTCCATCATAGTACACCAAGATAGCACACCAAAGGTGACAAAAATAAAATGAAGCAAAATGAAGTGAACACAAATAACTTATCACAGAAAAAGAAAGTTGTTTTAGGAGCCCAACAGAGAAAGAAAGGACCTATTATAAGTAGTAATTTTGTTATTTTCATGCTCATAAGATTTTAGATCAGCAGAAATGCTATGGTCTATATTATGAGGCCCTAAACAAATTAAGTAGGTTATTTCACAAGTGGTAATCCTCGAAACCATTATATCTTAAGGTCAACATCTGAGTAGATATTATTTAGACATGCAAAATCATTGTTTTAAAATTCTACACAATTATAAAATAGTTCATAAGCACCTAACACATATATTAATTTACCTTGGCAAATATTGACATTTCTTTTCTAACAATTGGCAACGTTTACCCAGGACACAGAAGAAATGGGAAAATCTAGAGCATTTCAGAGAAGAGTTAGCTGTGAATACACTCATACTGATATATTCTGTCTTTCCACCTAACCACACAAAACCCATATGCATGCACATGCTGTGCTGTGGGTGCTCAGTCGTGTCCCCATGGACTGTAGACCACTCGACTCCTCTGTCCATGGGATTCTCCAGGCAAGAATACTGGAGTGGGTTGCTACTTCCTTCTCCAGAGGATCTTTCCAACCCAGGTCTCCTGCATTGCAGGCAGATTCTTTACTGCCGAGCCATGTGGGAAGCCGAAACACACACAAAACTCCGCAATCACTCTGCGAATCCGTGAGCCCTGAGCCCTCCTCTCCCAGCCCCACACCCCAACTCATAGACACAGTAAAAATGAGTGTCCACAGCTATGCGTATAAAAGAAAGCAAATGTTTCTCCAGTCTAATCAGCCTTATTTTCTTAACATCTTACTGAAAATCTTCTTTTATTTAATACAGCCATGTTCTATACTAAAACAGTACTGTCTGATAGGTAAGTGGTATTTAGTTACTTACAAGAACATTACAAATATTAAGAAACTATAATTTAGGGCACTTCTGTGAAATTAAATTTTAGGTATTTGGGTGGATCTAGGCTGATTACAAACTCTTTCCATGGGGAGAAAAATACCTAAAACCTTTCAAGCATTGAAAATTAATTTCGATACATGTGATGGTCTGATATTAGCTATATCTGATAGCAGTAGCTTTGATATTGGGTAGGTTAGATTTTAAAGTTAAGCAGGTCTCTTATTAGTAAGCCGTGTGACGTTAAGTACCCCTGTTAACCTTACTTTCCTCATCTATAAATGGGGAGAGTAACAGCGTCCTCAAAAAGTGATGATTTTAGGACATGTCACGTCAGTATTTGATCAAGCTATCTATTGTTTTCATACAAAGACTATTATTATAATAATTCCTCACCTTATAATGCACTATTTAATGATTTCTAATGGACTTTTTTTTTGGTGTGTGTGGCAGGAGGACAACTACTAACAAGGAGATTCATGAATTAGAGTTGAGTTAATGTCTCATCACATTTTCAAGTATAAGAATGTATGAACTTAGGATACTAAATGGTCATAATTTTTTTCATGGCAAATTCTTTGTGACATTTATATGACTTTGTCAGTGTAATTATAATGAATGTGTTGCTGCTTAGATTCTTAAAGCTGTCAATTAGTTAAAAATCTAATGTCCATCCCCACTGCCATGAACTTTCACTCACATTTATACCTATTTTCTTTCAATAGGAGAATTGTTCTTATCCATATAAACTTTAAAATAACTCTCATAGGCCTTTCTTTTACATCTCCTCTCCCTTTCTCTCTCTCTTTCCTTCTTTCTCCCTCCCCACTCCTTCCCTCTCTTTCTCTCTCCCTTTCTTTCTTTCTCTCTTTTTTCTGTTTCACATTTGAGCCTTGTTGTGTGGAATGCTCACCAACAAATGACAGGAGTGAGCTGCCAGCTACAGTTCTGGGGAATCTTAAGTCTAATATTTGTAATGTAATGGAGCACTCGACTCAAGTTATCCCATCAGAAGGATTTTTCTTCAGGGAGAGAAAAATGGTTGATAGGATAGGCGCTGGATGCTTCAGGCAAGGGGCTGAGAGCCGAAGAGAAACAAAGAAGCAGGGATACATTAAAAGTGTCCTCCAACTCAGCTCAGGCTTTCCCTCCCACACTCTCTCCCCAGTTTCCTCCTCTGGATGGTAATTTCAGCATCTGCCAAAGGACAG